TGCAGCGGCCCCTCTCCGGGCCGGCCCTCAGTGCCAGTGGGCTCCTGTGCTCCTGCCCTTGCGTCGTCACTGGTGGGAGAGCCTAGCGGGACGTGTCTACAGGACACAGGGAAAAAGGTGTGGGGGGCTGTCTCGAGTGGGGTAGCCACAAAGGGAAGACTTTCGAAGGTGGAAAACATGGGCAGTGACTCAGCAATGTAGCACATCAGCGCCCTGACCTAGGAGGCCCTCTTGTTAAAACACCGAGCTTGCCTGCCCAGGGGCTCTTCGCCGGCCGTGACCTTGGCACTCCCCCACGGGTGCATTTGGCATTGACTAGAGACCTTTCGGGTTGTCACGACTCGGGGGAAGAGAGGGGTTATTAGCCCAGAGATGCTGCCACACATCCTACCGCGCACAGGATGCCCTTCCCCCAAGAGAATTGTCCCACCCAAAATGTCAGTAGTGCCCTGGTTGAGAAAACCAGCCCTAGCCTGGCCTTGAGATAAAATAAAAATGGTCTAGGGACTAAATGCCATCTTTGAAAGGTGGGAGCACCCAGCCCACCCACCCTAAGGCCAGGGGCATGCCAGACCTACCTACCTGGCACGTAGAAGACCCTCACTGAGTCCCATCTCCTGAATTTCTATGCTGCAAAAATGTACGCATTACCTCAGAGGGGAACTATATGACAGAAGCAATGTCTCACCATTGTCAGCCATTTTTCTCCTCTGACTCACTGAGCTTTCCAGGGCAATGTGAGTTTCGATTCCTATACTATAATGCAAGAAGGATTGCTCTTCTCTTTCCAGACGGACACATTTTCCAGAGAGCTGTTCCTGACAGCTAGTTAGAGGGAGCTAGATCAGAATCGTTAAGTCCTGAATCCCTTTTTTATTTTTACAAAATGAAAACAGCTTTTTATATTATTATTATAAAAATGATACATGCACATTGTTCCTTAAAAAGTTCAAACAGTACAGAAAAAGATAAGGAAGAAAATGTTTTAAGTCACCCAAATCCTTTCACCAAGAGAGAAACAGACGTGTCTGACTTTCTGACTCTTGTCTCCCCGGTGTTCCGCCCATGGACTCCCGCGTGGACCCATGTCAGGGTTTCTCAGCCCCGCACTATTGCCTCTGAGGTCCATCCAGATCCTTGCCTGCGGTGGGGTGTCCTGGGCATCGCAGGTTGTTTAGCAGCATCCTGGGCCTCTGCCCATTAGATGCCAGTAGCATCTCCCCACCCCTAAGCTGTGACAGCCAAAAATGTCCCCAGATATTGCCGAATGCCCCCAGGAGTACAAAACTGCCCCTACTGAGAACCACTGAGCTGATGGAGTCATATGCCTGACATCCTGTATATATCGTTGCATGCTGTGGTTCCTGAAGTTTGGGGTGATGGGGTGGGCGTTGGGGTCCAAGCCCTTCTCTGTGGCCACAGCCACATGTCCACACCATCTTGGGGCTACCAAGCTCAGAGGGGACTTGGCCAGTGGCCCATCAAGCTCTCTTATTTTACAAATGGGGCCTCGAAGGCCACGGGAGACACCAAGCTCATGGCAGGTCTCGCCCCGACCAGCCCGTGTCTTCAGTGTCCCCCACTGCACAGCCCTCGGCACTGGGGTGCCCAGGCTACCTGCCCCCGGCACTCTGCTCTCCCCTCTCTGCCACCTACTCTGGCCCAGGGCTGTCACCTGGGCTGACCCAGGGCTGTCACCTCTCGAGGAGAGGCTCCAGCAGCCTCCTCACCCTTTTTGTCTCCTCACTGCCACTCTGGCCTCAAATGGCATTCTAGAAGGAACTGTCCCAAATGCACACTGGATTGTCACTTGTCTATGAAATGCTTCAATGGCTCGTCCCTGCCCCCGTGGTAAAATCTAAGCTGGGGTGGGGGGTGTTCAGCAGGGTCAAGGCCTTTCCATGCACCGCCTCTCCCCCATGGGCACAATTCCCTTCTGTTTAGTCGCCTGGCCACTTCCTTCTCAGTCCACGTACATGCCGCCGCCTCCAGGAAGGCCTCCCTTGCTTCTCCCAGCCAAGCCCTTGCTAGTCACATGGCTGGGGTTTCTCTCAGGCCCGGGCTCTAAGCGCCACGGGGACAGGCCCATGTCCATCTCGTCCTCCCCTGAGTTCCTGGCACCCACAACAGGGCCTGGCTCATCGGAGATGCACAGGTGCCTTTTCAGACTTTCCACAGGGAGTGATGGGTGGTAGCTGGCCCCAGAGAGCTGGGGATGGCGCTGGGCACCCCTGCTTTTCTTCCTCTTCCCTGGCCTTTCCAGGGCTCTCCCCAGAAGGGAGCTGGTTCTCAGGAAAGCTGAGGGGGTACCCTCACTCCCACCCACCTGCCCTCCGCGGACCCGACTGCCCCTCCAGCCCACGTACACGTACCTTTTAAATAAACTTTTTATTTTATACTAGTTCTAGATTTACAGAAACGTTGCCAGGTGGCAGCTTCTGTGTGCCCAGCCCTGTTTCTCCCATGACACTGCAATGAGAATCCAGGCACAAAAGGAGCCAGTATCGATCGATACATTATTATTAACTAACCACGCATTGTTTGGATTTCCCCAATGCCCCTTTCCTGTGCCAGAATCCCATCCAGGACACCACGTGCCACTGTCACGTCTCCTTAGTCTCCTCTTGGCTGTGAGCTTCTCAGAGTCTCCGTGGTTTTTGTAGCTATTTTGAGGAGTGTCCTGGTTAGACTCATCACGTCCCATCAGGGTCATGCACTCAACCAGGGTCCTCACCATCAGCCTAATGACCCTGGCTGGGGCATGGCTCCCGGTTCCCGACTGGGATGCCACTTTCCCCAGGATAAAGGGGTGGGAGGTGTGTCCCCTCCTTGAGGGGACATCTACATGAATTCCTTGGTGCTGCCTGTATGAGACTTGTCTCTTGTCCCCATTTATCTACTTACTCAGTGACTGACAGCAAGATGGCCTTGCGGACATTTATTTTACACGTTGGGTGATAAGCCTGTACCACTTCGTCACGTTGTTCCCATCTGGCCCACTGGGAGCCCTGGATCCCGTGACCTCTGCCGTGCCCGTCTGGTTCTTCGGAGCACTGCCTCACTTTCTGCCTCACCCTGCAGATGCCTGGTCTCACAAGGAGCCTGGTCCCTTTCACTGGAGACCGGTGTGAGTGTGGAGGTGCCTGTGGCTCCTGGGGTGTCATGGCTGTAGGCCTTCTCAGAGCCGCGGCTAAAGCTCGGGAGTATGTACCCCAGCTCGTGTGCACACTGACCTAGAATGACTTCTCCATCTGTCCATCAGCTTCTGTCACCAGAGGGCACAGACTCTCTGTACACCTCAGCTGCCCTGGGCCAGTGGAGGCTGGGTCAGGTTTAGAGAGGGTGACGGGTGACACGCTGAATCTCTTCCCTGCTGAGCAGGTCAAGGGAAAACCTGTGTAAGCTGCTGCTGTGCCAGCAGTTCTCAACTGGGGGGGAACTGCCCCCAGAGGACACCCATCAGGCAATGTCTGGAGACAGTTTTGATTGTTAAAACCTGGGGGGGGGTGTCTTGTGGGTGGGGGAGAGTGGACACACAGACACAATTGGGAGGGAACATTTGGGAGTGGCCCTATTTAAAATAACCCGTTTTCCCGTTTCTCCTACCCCACGTCGCCTTTCCACAGAGTTGATCACTTTCTAATGTGCCCCGTAATCCCCATTTCTTATTCACAGCTCCCCCACCACCACCACCACCAAGGGAAACGCCACGCAGGAGGGATCCTGCCTCTCGCGACGGGGCCCGTGTGCCTGTTGGCTAATAGGTGGCCAGAAGGGGGAGGCGTGAGTGGGGCAGAAGCCACCAGAAGGAAGGGTGACTGGGCAAGGGCGGCCACACTGTTTTTCCAAGACAGAAGCAACAGCTACGGGCATGAGAAATGGGTGGCAGGCAGTGTCACAGAAGCTGCCTCCCCGTCACCTTCTGTGCCGTGTCCTGGGCTCTGGGGAGCGCTCCGAGGGGAGAGGGCTGGGGGTGTCAGGCCAGGCGCTTGGCTGCACCCCTGAGCAGGAGGCTCGTTACCGCTCTGCTGGTTTCCAAAGCCAGCTCCCAAGAGCTCGGAGACCTTCCTGCTCCGAGTGTCATCTGGTAGCGAGGGCCTCATTTTGTTCCGATGTCTTGCTTTTCAGCGCCCTTGGCCTCCTCTGCCCAGTACCTCGTCGCGGGGGAGCTACCCAAGCCTGGCTGGTGTCACTTGTGGGGCAGGCAGTGGAGTAGAGCAACCAGTGGCTTCCTACCCAACTGTCAGAGCCCAGCTCCCAAGCGTGTCCCAGTGACAAGCCCCCCACACAAAGGCGCTGCGGACCGGGCACCTTTCCCGCAGAGCACTGGGCACCAGAGGCTCCCCTTCCCTGTGGAGCTGGGCCAGTCCCTGGGAGGGTGTGTGAATGGCCCCAGGGACCCTCCAGCCCCAAATTCTTTGCCTCTATGTCACTTTGTAATGGAGACAGAGGTTTTGTGATGGGACAGGTTTGCGGCATCTCAGAAAAATCCATTTGCTCTAATGGGAAGGTGGCTTACGCTTGCTTCTCCCGCTCATGCACAGAGCATCCCACGAATGTCAGGAAGCCACTGTGCCCTTGGGACACTTCCCAGGCACTGGCCTTTTCCATGTCCTTCAGTGTCTAAATCCTTTTGCTCTGCGCATCCACCCAGCAATTACCTAAATGCCTACTCTGTACTAAGTGTGCGAGAAAGACAGGCCCTGACCTTCGGGGGTTAGTCTGGTGGGGAAGACAGGCATTACGAAAATCAGCCTATAATTCTGTGCTGTGATAGGTGCCACGAAGGAAAAGAGCAGGCTGTGATGAGAGAAGTGACAGTGGGGACCTGACTCGATCCGGGGTGAAGGCGGGAGCGCCAGGCTTTGCACAGGACCCCAGGGCAGCGATGCATTACAGCCACTTGCTCCTGGGACTCGTGCACGCGTGGAGCCGGACTCCATGCAGAAAGGACAGACACCATTGCCATGTCTACACAAATTTATTAGGCACCTGTTGCGCGCCACACAGGGAGACAGAAGCTGGAGAAGCTACAGCCGGCGAGGCAGCTCCAGCCCGTGGCCTTGGGGCTCAGTCTAGAGGAGGGTGGCCAACAAGTCATCCGGCACGAGGAGGAAGATGACAGGGCTGTGGTGCCCAGGGAGGGCTGGATGGGCGGGGGGCTTCCCGCAGGTGAGAGGGCCGGCCAGGTCGAGTGAGAAAGCCCCGGGACGGGAGGCACAGGCGCAGGCCGCTGTGGGCTGGAGTATCGGGCCTTCGTGCAGAAGCAGGTGCTCAAGGCCAAGGCTGGGGGTGGGTTGCACTCCAGGTCGTGGGAACCACTGGAGGCTTGGCGCAGAGGAATTCAGGGTCAGGTTTTCATTTCAGTGCCCCAGGGCCGTGTTGGGGGACTGACAGGGTGGGAGGGGGCCTCTGCAGGGGAGCAGGCAGATGACGGTGGCCAGGCTGGGGCTGGCCTTGCTCTTGTCCAACATCCCATGTCCTGCCTCCTGACTGCACAGGCCGTGGGCGTAGTGCTCTTCAGAGCCTTCAGGAGAGCCTCCACCCAACCCTCTGAATCAAGCACAACAGGATGGGGGTGCCTCCGGAAGAGTCCTTCACTGTCATGTCCCACACAGGCTGCGTCTAACGCAGGGTCTCCATGTTACCCCTCCCAGCCCTATGGTGGTCCCAGATGGACATGTGTCACAGGACAAAGGCAGATTATGTAAGATCTGCACCCCAAGATCTTACATGATCATAAACCAAAGATGCATATGGCAGCTTCCTCGAGGACCCCCATTCAGACATCACGTTGGAACCTGCCTCCCAGCTGCCTGCCTCCTAGCCAACTCAAAGGCAGCACTGTTTACTCTGAAGCAACGGCCTTTGAACAGGCGTTTGTCGGGGCCTTGGCAGCAGGCTCGGGGCACCACGGAAAAGAACTCTGTCCCAGCTCTGTCGCGGCCTCAGCACCGATGGCTGGTTTCAATGTGCCACCTTCTCTCGAAGGGCCTGTCACTACCTTGACCTGAGTGGCAGGAGCATGTAATGACGCAGTTCTGTGTGGGCCGGAAGACACAAGTGTTGCAATGATGGGAAACTGCTACCTAATTCGGAACAAAAGCTGCAAATCAAAAAGGGGCCGTCAGCTCACTCCTAAGCAAAGCAGAAGGCTGGTCCCTCATGGTCACAGAAAGCCCCTGGGAGCGCCACCTCGCTGTCACAGGCCTGTGCCCCCCATGCCCTCCAACCCTGACAGGCCTCTCCACTGATTTCAGAGACGCTAGGCTGATGGAAGTCCCAGCGTGAGCCTCGACATTCTGCCCACGAGTGTGTGCTGTGGCTTAGGGAAGACGGAACAGCATGAATGTGGCCAGGGCCGGGAGAGGAAGTCTGCGTGTGGCCAGGACAGGAAGTGTGGAGGGCTCGGGCGGCGCACCCTCCAGGGCTCTCCTCGGGGGTAGAAGGCCCCCAGCTGAGCAGCCTCTGGCCCCGGACAAACAGCCAGGGGGTGGATGAGCACAGCTCACTCCACCAGGTCACTGCCGTCAGTGGGCTCATCTGTTAGGCAGCAGGACGAAGTGTCTGCTCTGGGGATGCCTTGAGTTTCCTGCACAGCACCTGACACGGCCTGGCGGTACAGCGGCACAGTAAACCCGCATTTCACGTGGCTTTGGTGGTGCAGTGGCCGCTATGAAGCTGTCAGCCATCTTCAAGCAGCCCAGGCACGCAGCTCAGACAAGGTGGTTCTAACAGGCCACCTCGCTGGCCTTACTCAAAGCCAGGCCCATTCGGCTCTAGCTCGCATCTACAGACAAGGCAACAGAGGACCCTCAGGAACAGGTGGGTGCTGGTGGACGGTGAAAATCAGTCCTTAACCTCCCAAGACCTTTCTTAGCAAGCCTTTCCTTCAGAGAGCAAAGGTTAAGCTCCCAATGACAAGAGGCTGAAGCATGAAGATTTTAAATGGAAGAGGCTGCGTTAACGGGCCTCAGAGGTGCCACGCAGAGCAGTGCCTGAGCCTCAAAGGGGACACAGCTGCAGCCGGTGCCAAGGACACTTGAAAGCAGAAAGACCTGGGGCAGAGAGAAAAAGAAAGGAGGGTGGAAAGAGTTAACAGGATAAACCACACGAGAGACACACACATGCACACCCTCCCCCGCCCACCAGGTCACATGCAGGTGCCTCTCCACTGGCTTCTTCAATGGTCCAAACAGCCGTCAGTACACAGTCTACTTATAGGCAGTCTCTCGACTGTTGTCTGTTGTTGACTTAAGGGAGAAGCAGTCACGGTTTGAAAATTTGGCCCCTTTTCTGATGAAGGGGAGTGGGTTGCTCATAGGATGGGTGGAGTCGCAGTCTCCAGACCTCCTTACACAATCTTAGGCAGATCACCTGCCCAAGTCCACTTCTTCAGGGCCCTCAGCGGGTCAAGGGCAGAGGGCAAGAAGTCAGGCTCAGGGAAGCCCCTCCTGGAACCCTTCCAGTTGGCCCGACAGAGCTCGGGCGCTCCTGTAGAGCGCGGACAGGAAGTGGGGAGCAAAGGAAGAATCGAGCCAGCTGAATTGGTGGCCTTGCTCATGATGAAACGATAGAGCTGGTGGAAACCCGTTATCTCCATACCCACTGGCCTAACAGACGGGAAACCCACACAGATGACACCACTTACCTGTGACCACAAGGCCAGGTCCAAGAGCGGGTGTCTGAGGCCCAAGAAGCCTCGGAACCCCCACCCCAAGGATTCTCCTGAGAAAGGGGCCCTCGGAGGCCCGCAGTGTTGTTCCCGCAGCTGCGCCATCTAGTGGTCAGGGGTTGGGGTACTTGGTGCCACGGCTCCAGCACCCAGGAGTATCCGCCAGAGTAAGACCACGGAGGGGGCTGCCTCCAGTGAGGGCCTGGGGACGTCCAGGACACCCCTTCACAGTGTACCCACAGCGAGCACCGGCCACCCACCCCACTAGCTGGCTGACCCCGCTGGCCTGCCATTTGCATCAGGGGACTGGAGAAGTGGCTTCAGACATGAACGTCTCTCAAGTTCACTTTCCTAACCCGTCAGGAAATCAAAGCCGAAAACCCCGTAACTCCTGTTTAGAGGATGGAGACGAGCCGCTTCCCTCAGAAGTGCCAAGTGGGCTGGAGGTGGGGTCCCCGCACACGCACTGGTGTCCCCACTCTGCCCGAGGCTCCTCCATCGTCCCAGCGGTGACCCCTCCCACCACCCAGTCGGCTCAGGAGGCCTCGCCCTCAGGCCACGCGGCACCAACCTGAGACCCAAAGGGCCAAGGGCGCATCCAAAAGTGCCAGGGACCCTTTTGTACACTGTCAGGAAGGAGGCCTCCGAAGGAAAGCCCCCCGACTGCACTGCCTCCGGGAGCAGAGCCCCCTAACACGGCCCTGCACATGCCAGGGCCTCCTGACGCGTCTCAGACATGCTCCTGGGCACCAGCCTCATCTGCTCCCCCGCTTGGCAGCCCCGCCTCCACACAAGAGCAGAAAGAACTTGCGGAAACACGATTCAGGGTAGCTCTGTCGCCTCCGTGCTTCCACGGCCCTCCTCGTCCACTCCCGCTCTGCCCCTCACTTCCCGCAGCCAGGCTGGCCTCCCGGGGTCCCTAGAGCCCAGGCCAGCTCGTCCCCACCGCAGGGCCTTCCTGCAGCTTGCTACATGGCAGGTTCCCGACTCAGGCCCAGCACCGTCTCGGACCCTCCCTGCAGCCCCTCATCTCACAAGCAGCATTCGAGGGCAGTGGCTTCTGAGGGAAGGGGGGTTCTGGAGCCTCACTGATCACCTGAGTTCAAATCCAGACGCTCCCACTCTTCACCTCTGTGGCCTTGGCAAGTTATTTGAGCTCTCTGTGCCTCAGTTTCTGGGCAAGGCTGCTGTGAAGCGTAAATGAATGGATGCACCCCATAATGCTGAGGACGTGGCAGGTACCACGAGACATGTCAAAGCAGGAGTCAGGCTGCGTGGCAACGGCCAAACCTAGTGCTTTCCACAGGCTCTTTAAAGAGGAGGGCTCGCCTAAGCCTCCGTGCAGGTGGCCCTGAGGCGCAACCACAGTCACTGCTGCCACGGTTTCTTCCCAGGGGCCTGGACAAGCAAGACGGAAGTCTGAACTGCAGAGGACAAGGACATTCTGCATAGGAATAGGAAGGAACTCAAGGGCTGCCTGCCACCAGCCAAGGGCCCCAAGAGCACTCATCCCCAGCCCTCGCCTGCCTCCCTTCCCGTGCTGAGAAGTCATGCCCAGGTTCCAGACCACCCTGGCCTCCGGGGAGCCTTCCTAAGCCCCCATCCAACAGGGCCTGAGAGGCCCAGAGACGCAGAGATGCTGGCGTCGCCACAGTCATTGCCAGAACCCTGTTACGTTTCTGTTCCGGTTACTAAGGGGCCAAAGGGAGGAAAAGGGCAGCTGCGCTAGCTCCACGGGCCTGGCCCAGGCCCTCGTGAAGGCTCGTGGCCCCCTTTCTCCCCAGGCCAGGCCCCCAGGGCTCGTCCATGAGCCCAAGTCTCCCAGACCAAAGTCACGGCAAAGTCAAGGAGGCCCCAGCCAGCAGCTCCGTGGCTAACCTGATGGCCCGCGTTCCTGCTGGGATAATAATAGCTCCACTTGACTGCACTGCAGAGAGAGAAGTGCAAATGCCTACAGAGTCCAGGCCCCGCTCAGAGATGAGTGGCGAGGCCAGGTGGCCGCCGGCACGGTGGCAGGTTGGTGGCTCCCCGACAGGGGGCGGCCGCCCCTTGGCTATGGCTGCCTGGGGACAGGCTGACAGCAGGCCCCAGACAACCAGAGGCTCCCAAGGGCCAGAGAAGTCAAACCCCCAAAGCTTTTCGTAAAAGCTTCTGATATCTAAACGTCAGCGGCGTCATAATTCAGACTTGTTAAAAAATCTTATGCTGTTGAAACACCGTGTCTCTGGGTGTGATCGGGCCTGGAGGGACGTTTCCAACTCCATTCCACGATGGCGGCTTTTCCTCAAATGAACACTTGCTATCTTGACAGCGGCCATCATCTCGGGACTCCTTTCTGAGCGCCAGGCTGCCTGCCTGTCTGGCTTAGCCCTCCGGGAGCCTGCCTCGGTCCTCTCCCTGTAACTGGGCAGATCGGTGAGCTACCCAGCGGGCACAGTGCAGGGCTGAGGCTGGTGCTCAGCTCTGTCTGACACCAAAACCAGGGACCTTAACCACAGGCTTTAGTCCCTGACCTGTTCCTCTGGGCTTGGGGGCTGGGCCCCGCTGACCTCTCAACTCGAGACCTGGCCTTGGCGTGTCCACACAGGTCCATCCACGCCTGCCCCCGACACGTGCCCAGACCCCTCCCCCGCTCCCTGGGACTCCGCGTGCTGGGCTTCTCCCCGGCGCTGATCCCACCCAGCCCCTGGACCGGATCGAGCCACGGCGAGGCCGTGTCCTCCAGCCCCTGGGCCCCTCTGTCCTGCTGCCACCTGCCCTTCCATTTGCCCATGACATTTAAAGCTATCTATCCAGACTTGGCATATAGAACCCAATCCCCCCAGCTGTTGGCATACCACTGCCTCATTCGGCCCGCGCACGCTTGGTTTCCAGTAAAAACGTAAGCTGACCCAGAACGCGGGGCCACCCGAACCCTCTACTCCAATCACGCCAGCCTTAATTTGGCTCCTTCATCAAGTGTACTGTCAGCTCGAGCCCATTCCTGACCCTACAAGGAGAAGGCAGGCGCGGCCTGCGGGCCTGTAAGCATCAGGGCAAGCTGCGGGCCATCTGTGTGCCCGTGACACGGGAGCACATGCCTGGAGCATGGTGTGATGTCCGCCACAGCTGTCCCTCTCCTCTCCCTGGCTTCCGATCCCACTGGGCCCCATGGCCCTGCTATTAATACAGCGCCAAGAGGCCAGCAGCTGGCTATGGCAGGATCTTTCCACACGGACGGTGACAGCTGACATCACACTGACTCGGGCTCTGTCTGTTCCCAAAGTGCGTTCTTTAGAAAGTGCACAGCTGATGTTTGCCTGGTCGCGGAGAATGTGTCCGCTTTGCTTTGGGAACTGAGGAAATCTCCAAGGAGCAATTTGGGGGCCTTTAAAAGGGGGCCCAAAAGATGGGTGGTGGTCCCCAGGAGCACGTTCACAGAAGCAAGGGCTCACAGAACCCTTGGGTTCACAGAAGCAAGGGTCTTCTCCCCATGCGAGGGCCCCGGGATCTGTGAGCGACTCGGGCCTTGCGGGAAGAGAAGGGGCAAGTGGGCAACTCTGGCAGGCCCCAGAGGAACTCAGAGTGGGGGTGAAACGGTGTGATTTCTGGGATTTGCTTTGAAAGACACCTAGCGAAAAGGTAGGGATGACAGAGGGGACAGGAGTGACAGGGCTGATGGCTGCCGCAGCTGTGCTGGGGGCCCTTGGGCCTCATCTCCACTTCAGTGTGCCTGGAAACTTCCATAACAACAAGTTTAAAAATACACATGTGAAAAAAATACTCAACAAACGTTTGATGAGGGCCTAGTATGTGCTGGGAGCCGTCTGGGCACTGCTCGATTTGTGCGAAAGGAGGCAAGTGAGCGGGGGCCTGGCCTGAAACGGTCTCCTTTGGCCATGTACAACAGGTCCACTCCCTAAATGGCGGGTTTCCTTCAAATGTCCATTCCACTGACCCATGGAGACTGTCTGAACACTTACTTTTTAAATTCAGTATTTAAAAATACTACAAGCCCCATAGCCCTCTAGCCGACCCGGGAAGGAGCAGAGCCGCTGAACTTTGTCTCTAGAACGTCCTTCTCTCCTCCCCTCGCCCACCTTTCCCACCAGAGCTAACACAGAATCGCAGGTCTACCACGTGCTAGTTGTGCACGCTTTAGTGTCATCGCGTGTGCCTGTGTTTAGCTTTGCTTGCTTTTGAACTTGATGGAAAGTGCGTCCTTCCACATATCTGAAGTTACATTTTTGGGCACAGGCTCTTTTGAAGCAGCCAAGCCAGAACAGAGAACGGGATGACCCCAAATCCCTGAGTAAGAGGAAAGGTGTCGGCCTGGGCAGGGGGTGTCGCCAACAGGAAGTAAAGGTGCCGGAGCCCCTGGCCCGTGGTCCGGGACGCAGCTCT